CATGCCGAGCGACACGAGAAGGACCAACTGGAACTCGTTCTCTAGAGCGCAGTCAAGCGCCGGCAAATGGAAGTTGCATGGGACCACCAGAGGCTTGTGGCGGCCGACGGCTGATCGGCCTAGTTCGACAGCCAATTCACGTCTTGACCCGATCTTTCGCCCGGACAATCTAATCGGGATTTTTTGAGTCCTCTGAATCATTTTTTTAGACTCAATTTTGATACTTCTGAAATCAAACTAAGTTTCTATAATCATTTACAAGCAATTTTAAGGTTTAAAAATGAAATTATTAAAAAAAAAATTCAATCAACGCCTTGACTTCAAGAAATAAATTATGATCTAGAATATTTTACTTGTTTCACAACCCTAATGGAGGGTCTATGTTTATATTCAACGGGTAGTCGCGCTTCGTAATTTATTTGATATTAAAGTTTCACAACAATAGTTTTTTAAAATGATATAACACGTATTTTCGAGCTCCTAGTGTTTCAATATTTAAATATAGGGGGACAACTAATATATCATCAAAAAATTATCTTGATCGGGCACAAATCTCGATGCAAATATGAGTCGATTGCTTTATAAAAATCAAATTTAAGATCATTTAAACTCTAATTTCAGTAAACTTTTAATCAAATTCATTATCTCAAGGAGATGAACCCAACGACACTAAATTCATTCCAATCCAAGCCCAAATGAGCCCAAATCAAAGAACCAAAACCTACTTGAAGGGTTATAGCAATAATTAGAAGGCCAATTGATATCCAAATATTGCATGCTTATATTCTAATCGAGTGGCTCGGTAAGGCGAATCAAACGGGCCCAAAACCCCTTAATTCTAACATCTCTAAGGCATTTAAATGTTGGATAAACACTCCATGATCAAGGGGCACTATGAGTCGTATGATGACCCCCCCTATACTCCCCCCCTCCCAATTGCCGACTACGATCCCTTCAACTACCATCGCTCGCCGACTACGGTCGTACTAACCAAATGGACAAGCTAATATTCTCTTAAGAACAACTCTTATGTCACTGGATTCTTACAACTCTAACAATATAATGTGCCCATTATGATATATATTTGTTACATCGAGTCATGTCCTTCCCCGGAGAAAGTGCCTCATTTGTAATCAACTACGAACACTAGTTGAAACATTTAACTGAGTTAGATCCCATGGTTTTTACCTTTTCAAGATTTTCCACGTAAAAACTTGGCATCACTTATGACTCTCACAATTCTCTCTATTTATCTGTATGTGTGTTGAATCTTTAATTAAAACTAAGACATTAAGCATCTTATCTTTCTAACGCCACGAATATTTCAGGACGCAACATAGCTATTATTTTTCAAGCTAGAGCTTATAATTTAGCTGTAGGTTTCTTGTTTATGATTTTATATTTAAATTTATATTCTTAGCAAATATAAAATAAAAATATCAACAATTCAAATTCGGCTCAAATTCTATTGAACATGGATCGGATCATTTATGGATCGACTTACTGGATAAATAATTTGGATAAAAAGGAAAATTTGTCATCCATGTGGCAATGCTAGTATCGTCCATATGGTCCAAAGATCCGGATAAGAAATGGATGGCAAGTATCCCTCATCCAATCAGAAGCGAAGAAATCTCATCATCTCATCCCCATCTCATTTTCTCCTCTTCCAATATTACTTTTTTTAATTATTCCATCTTAGCAGAAAAAGAGAAAGAGAGAAGAAGAAGAAGAAGAAGAAGAAGCACAGCAGGGGTATTTTGGGCAGGGAAAAGGTAAAGGAAGAACAAAAATGGCTACAGCCTCAGCTCCGCCCATGGCCAGCCAGTTCAAGAGCTTTCTGCTTCATGGCCGCGTTGGTCGGGCCGGCCTGCATGGCCCCAGGGGCATTTCAGGAACTCCACTAAGGGACTTCAGCTCCAGGAGAAGGTCCTTTCTCATCGTCCGGGCTATTCAGGCTGAGAAGGTTACTGTCTTCTCTTCTCCTCTTCTATCTTCATCAAAGATTAAAATTATTTTTCATGTCACAGCCCACATACCAAGTGATTCAGCCCATAAACGGAGACCCATTCATCGGCAGTTTGGAGACCCCAATCACGTCAAGCCCACTAATTGCATGGTACCTCTCAAACCTCCCGGCCTACCGTACCGCCGTAAGCCCATTACTCCGCGGGATTGAAGTGGGCCTAGCCCATGGATACCTTCTTGTCGGCCCCTTCGTAAAAACTGGCCCTCTCCGCAACACGGAGTACGCCGGCGCCGCTGGCTCCCTCGCCGCCGCTGGCCTCGTCGTCATCCTAACAGTCTGCCTCAGCATGTATGGCATAGCCACGTTCAACGAAGGCAATCCTTCTACGGCTCCATCTCTTACGCTCTCTGGTCGGAAAAAAGTGGCCGACAAACTACAGACGGCCGAGGGCTGGGCGCAGTTCTCTGGTGGCTTCTTCTTTGGGGGGATTTCCGGCGTAACTTGGGCTTACTTTCTCCTCTATGTTCTTAACCTCCCTTACTATATCAAGTAGATTTTGATTTATTCAGGCTTTGTAATAAATGGATGCTATGAATTTCTATTGCCTTGGTGTTAAATGTGAGTGGCATTTATATAAATTCTGGAATCTGAAGTGATGTTGGGATCATTGTTAGTGCTTTATATAAGTATAGAATTATAAGCTTTCATGATTAAGAATAATTAGTTTGTTGATATGTATATATTGAATCTGCTAAATTTATTTATTTATTTTAAAACGAGTGCAATATAAATTTTGATTGATTAGTGTTAGCAGCTATGATAAGGAAGCAACTGATAAGCATGCCAACCTATCAAAATCACCACTCTCCACTGATTCTCTCCTCCAGTGGCTGATTCTTAATTTGCTCTACAGCATCCGCTCAATAGACTAAGCAATACATATCAACCACTCATCCATAACAAACTTTGATTCCAAAACACACTATGTATACAATGAAAATGTAACCATGTATGTCAATATACAACAAGCTTATTTATGTCTTTAGCTTTCTTCTTGCTCTTTGTTTTTCCCTATTGAAGGTCTCTTCATGATATCAGAGCCTTAAGCTCAACAGCCATCTCTCTAGCTGCAATACATGGCAAAAAGCAATGTATCTTCTTCTTAGCAAGCTTCGTTCAACACTACAGCTACAATTAACTCCAGCATACCCTCCCCACTCAAATTATTTATCTCTAATATCAAGACATTGAGAACATTCAACTCAACAATGATGACCACGCTGTTTGGAAGCTTCAAGTTCTAAAGATCTTCGTTGCAAACAAATTCAAGAGCTTTCTCAACGGATGCAGGTCTGCCCTCTGAAGCATATATCTTCTTTCACTGGAGATATCTATCTCAATCCAACCTATCAAATGTGGTTGCTCACCGACCAAAACTTAGCAACTCCCTGTTTTCCACCATTTCCCGGCCCCTCCATCTTACCATACGTTCTCACTCTCCAAACCACCCATGAAATCTGAAGCATGTTCGAAAAATGCCTCCAACCCACAAACCATCTTGAGTAATTCAATTCAAGAAAGAACTTCACCGCACCACATCACCATGAAAGTTTTCACAATAACCTAATACTTTGTTCATATTAAGAACCTAGTGGATAACATTGCGGCTACCGAATCCCGTATTGACACCAAATACATTATACTTTACATTTTAAATTGATTGCCCTCATCTTACAATGCCTTCAAGACTGCCATTCGCACAACTCTCACTCTGATAAGTATATATAGCTGATATCTACTCCCTTATATGCAGTGAAGAAATCAACATAAAAAATGATCAACCCAAAGACTCTACTACCACCGCATATATCGTAGCTTTTCATACATTTGAAGGTACCTCTTCCAGAGCTTGTAATGCAGAAACTCCACATTTCAATGGTGGACGCCCAAATCTCTCAGCATCATCTTCTTCACGCTACAGCGTTACCACCGGCAGAGGCACAAGACCCCCCATAACTCAAAGGCCTATATGTCAAACCTGTGGCAAAGATGGACATTTTACACTTACATGTTGGCACATATGCAACTTACAATACACACCTCCAGTCAACAGCAACCCTAGAGGATTATTCACTTAGCATATGCTCCTTTAACCGATTAATTAGTATCTAGACTTCATAGCTTTAACACATCTCACATCTGACTCCAATTAATTCCAACACCCACAACACTATAATGAACCTGACAGCATCTCCATAGAAAATGGCACATCCCTTCACATCCAACATAGTGGCCAAGGCATGCTTCCTTTACCACACTCCCAACGTAAGCTTATTCTCCAAAACTTACTTCATGTATCTTCTCTTACACATAATCTTCTTTCCATTCACAAACTCAACATTGACAATAACTGATGGATTTCCTTCGATGCCTTCATATTCATCATGAAGGATAACTTGACCAATCAAGCACTTCTTCGTGGCCGAAGCAGTGACGGACTATACCTCATCTCCACTACGAACACATCTTTAGTTGTAGCTCTTGACACCCAACTTCACTCCACTTATTTTTTGCATGCTCAGCTGGGACACCCTCACCAACATATCCTACATACCTTAGCTAGAAATAACTCTACTACATGTATTCCAAATACTTCTTTTACATTCACCACTCGTAATGTGGCGAAAAAATCACAAACTATCATTTACTTTAAGTTCAATGAAAGCATCTACACCTTTAGCTCTTATGCACTCAAATGTTTAATGACGTGCTCCCATATATTCTCTAAATGGCTACAATTACTGTGCTATTTTTATTGATGAATATTCACGTTTTTGCTGGTTGTATCCAATGTACACAATGGCTGACACATTTAAAAAATTCCAAAATTTTCTTCACATGGCAGAAAACCAATTCAACTCCAAAGTCAAAACCTTCATATCTGAAGGTGGAGGTTAATATATTTCTCACTCCTTTCAACTCTTTCTCTCAAATTAGGGCATCATTCACCAAAAAAGATGTCCCTACACACCTGAGCAAAATGGCTTATCTGAATGCAAACACATACACCTCATTGATACAACCGCACTTTACTTCATGCAGCCCAACTTCCCCTCAAATTTTGGTTGGAAGCTCTTTTCGCTACCAATTACCTCATAAATTGTCTTCCATCCAAAGTCATTAGTCACGACAATCCCTTCAACCTACTCCATGGTCATCAACTTTGCTATACTCATCTCAAAACCTTTTGGTTGTCTCTATTTTCCCTGGCTTCGACCCATTGACCACAAACAAACTCGCACCTCGTTCTACATAATGTTTCTTTCTTAGTTGGCACACAAGAGCTACCACTGCTTTGACCTACAAAGAGGAAAAAATCATATCTCTTGTCATGTTGTCTTCTATAATACACCTTTCCCTACAAAATCTCTTCCACCACTTCAAAGCTAATCATAGAACCCTCCATTCCCCCACCTCTTACTCTTGTACCCGTCTCAACTACATCATTTTCCACCCCATCTCCACCATTTCGTTCACCAATTAACTCCCCATCACATTATTCTACTAACACCAGCAATATGCACCCCCCCCCCCCCCCCCCCCCCCCCCCCCCCGTTCACCAATTAACTCCCCATCACATTATTCTACTAACACCAGCAATATGCACCCCCCCCCCCACAGCCTATGCAAACTAGATTAAAGACTGACTGTCTCAAACCCAAACAAATTCTTAATCTGCTCACCACTCACATGCCACTTTAACTCACACTTATTACTCTCAAGCTGTTAAATCTAACTCTTGGAGTTGTGCTATGTCAGATGAATTTTCAACTCTCAAAAATTAGGGAACTTGGTCCCTCATTCCAGCAGCCTCACACTGAACAATCCTCAGCTGCATGTGGACTTTTCGAACAAAACTTAAACCTGACGGTACAATTGATCGCTAAAAAGCAAGACTAGTTGCTCAAGGGTTTAATCAGGAGTTTGACATTGATTTCAAAGAAACCTTTAGCTTGGATGCGAAATACCCACTATAAGGATCCTTCTTACACTGGTCTGTACTCCAATTTGATGTGCGAAACTCCTTTTTGCACAACAAACTTCAAGAGGAAGTTTACATGAAGCAACCACTAGGTTTCTCATACCTAAATCATCCATATTATGTTTGCAAGCTCCAAAAAGCAATTTATGGCCTTAAATAAGAACCAAGATAGTGGTTCCAAACCTTCACTGAGTTCTTACTCAACCTAGGGTTCATCTTCAATAAATATGAGCTATCTGTACTCATTCTTTCTAAAAATAGCATTCAAAACTACCTTCTCGTTTAGGTAGATGACATACTCATCTCTGGCAATATCAATCCACTATTTCTACTCTCATAGAGACACTGCAATCACCATTCTCCTCAAAAGAACTTGGTCCCGTATCCTTTTATCTTGGCATCCAAGTCATACACACCTCGACCAGTTACTTCCTCAGCCAATCCCAATACACAAATGACCTCCTTCAAGCATCCAATTTCTCCAACTACAAGCCCTCACTCACTCCAATGTCCATAAAGCTCTAAAAATTTGCTACAGTGAGTAAGCCATTTTAGGATTCCAATCTCCATCGTCGAATTTCAAGTTCCCAGTAGTACCTCACAATCACAAGATTGAACATAGCCTTTGCAACAAATTGCATTTGGCAACATATGCACGATCCAACCGAGGAGCATTTTCAACCCCTCAAACGATTGCTTAGATACATTCAGGGCACACTGCATTTCAGCCTTCCCAATACACCAGGCGATCTTCAACTGTGCACCTACTCAGATTCTGACAAGTAATTGGTTTTTATATAGATCTCAATCAACTTTTTAGCATAATATTCTAATAAAAAAAAATTCTTCTTTATTGAGTACAAGTCTTCTTTTAATTATTAATTTGTAGCATATTATTATCTCATCTTGGCCTTTCATTTTATTTAATTGACATTGATTGAATTCATTAGTATCAAAATGATTTTAAAAATGGAAAGATAAATTTAGGGTTTGTTTAGAAGAGATTTTTCACTTCTCTGCCTTTTACACAGCAATTGCATTTCTATTTATATACTGCTTTCTTATTATTTTTTCATTATTTTTTAGAATTTTTTGCAGTGAAGTTTTTTTTGTAACCCAAATAGTACTTAGGCTACTTTACTCATAACAATTTTTCAATGAACTTTGTAGAACACTATATATATATATATATATATATATAATATTGTGACCTTGTAATTATATATATATATATAATACAAACTGATAGAAAAAATTATGTGGTTAGCACTTATAATATAAATGTACTAAGGTTTCATTTGGAGAAACTTTCTTCTTGCTTTATGGAGCAGCATTCTTGTAAAAAAAAATTAGTAACAAGAAAGCTATCTCAAATGAAATCTAAATGAGTATTGCACTAATAATTTTTCAAAATAACAATAATTACATCCATTGTGTCAGAATATTCTAGTATAATTTTTGTCTGGATAGACTTAAATGTCATTAGATTTATGTTGAGATTAGTGTAATTCAAACTTTTGATTTGCACTAATCTCAAAATAAGTCAAAAAACTTGTAAGCCTAATATGATGTAAATTATATCATAATATCATGACATAAAGTTTTTCCAAATACTTATTATCCTTATAAATAGAGAGGATTTATAACACTTACATTTATGATATAATAAATTTGCACCTTACATATTTATTCAACTAATCATGGAAACCTTATATTTTGCTTCCAAAGTGTTATTTATTTGGATCACCTAACATATATAGCACCAAGTTTTTAATAACAAGTATTTATTTCTTCACATTAATGTTACATATATACATAGAATCCTTCCCATCTCTTCCTCTTTATATTAAACCATTATATATTTCACATCAATATACTCAAATCCCAATATCTATTACCTATAATTCTCACTCAATCAACCTAAATGGGAAGGTCTACAACCTTCCCAAAAATCATCTCCTTCTTTGTCATTTTCATGCTAGCTTATAATGGTACGTACTATAAACCTCCATGTACTATAAATGCATATTTTTATAATGTTGTAAACTATATAAATTTAAATTTTATTTATTTACACTATTTTAATTAATTGGTTAGGTGTTTGTGAAGAAGTTCGACAAAGCAGCGGAGGCGTACCGCAACTGTGCAAGTCATATCATGATTGTCAATCAGTGTGCAGTATTTATTGCAATAGCATTTGTCGCTACAATTGTAGTATTACAAAATGCAACAATGGCATTTGCTATTGCTCTTGTTGAGTTCATTAATATGTTTACTTCTTATTTTGTGAAATAGATGGATTGGGTCTTATATTAGATGAGGTAAAAAAGTAATTGATTGCAAGTGTTTGTTTAAATGCAAGGAAGGAACAAATGTTTGAATTATGAATCATTGTAGACTTTTTTACCACGTCACATTTACTTTTTAGTTCACAAACTCTTGATGTTTATATACTATTTATTATTATAATATACCTTCATCATCAAGGATATTTTCAATTAAATAAGAAGAGGTCATGGTCATTATATGCTAATGATTAAAAAAGACTAGATAATAGTTGAGTTTATAACTATGAAAGAAGAAAACATAGGTTCTAACTTGACTTGTCAAGTTACATTGCAAAAAGTATTAGTGAATAAAAAAATACATTGAAATTACTATTACACTGAAGAATTCTTAATTAATTTCTTCAAGCTCCTAATTTCACTTTGCTTTTGCTTTTGCTTAGCCATGCAAGGAGAGGTAGCAAATGAATTATATCAAAAGGTGCTTTGAACAATTGGTATGTGAGTTATTGAAATTACTATTACACTGAAGAATTCTTAATTAATTTCTTCAAGCTCCTAATTTCACTTTGCTTTTGCTTTTGCTTAGCCATGCAAGGAGAGGTAGCAAATGAATTATATCAAAAGGTGCTTTGAACAATTGATATGCGAGTTATGGAGATGAGAAACATGGTAGGTGGGTGTAGTTACGATGCTGGATATTAGAGCCCTCATTGTGTGTTGCTCTTGAATGCAAATTATGTCAACAATTAGAACTTGTTATAAGCCTCTTATCGAAGATTGAACCTGAAACATTTGGCAAGCAATCTGAGAGAACTTCCTCTTATTTGTTAATTATGTTCCTTCTGTAGTTTTGAATTTTTCAATCTCTCTTATTCCATAAATTAGCTCCATTCAAAAGTTTTAAATATATGATTGCTATCAATTGTCTAGGCATTGCATGCTTAGGGGATTTATTTCTATAGGTACCCATCACTGTAGTTGAAACATGTGTATTGTTACCAACAGGAGCAAGCTTTACCTAACCAAAATTTGATAACTTTGGATGATAATCATCTTGAAGTAAAATGTTAATGCATCTCAAATCTTCATATATAAATAGAGTGGTTTTATCCACTTGATTATACCAATAGCTATTTTTTATTCTTGTATACTCTAGTCTCAAAGCACAAGAATTGAACTAATTGCTATTGCAATAAAGGGGCTACACTATTTACTTAATAAACCAAGTCCTCTACTTTTATATCAAGATTTGAAATGCTTCAAGATGGATATCATCCAACAATATCAAATTTTGATTTATCAAAGCTCGCTCGTGTTGGTGAAGATGCACATGTTTCTACTAGAATGATGGGTACTTATGAATATTATGCCCATAAGTATGAACTGGCTAGTCAATTATAGCAAAATTAGTTATTTAATTCTTTGGAGGTGTACTATTAGTGTTAATAACAAGAAGTAGAACTATTAATAATTACATAACTATAGGGGAGCATAGTCTAATTAGTTTCATTGACCACCCCCTCTTTATTGGCAAGAGGAAGTTCTCTTACATGGTTAATCCAATGCTTCATAGTTAGTATCTTAAAATGGCTTATACTAAGCTCAAATCATTGTCATAATTTCCAACCCCTAATAAGGCCTAAGTGCATATGATGACTATGTCCTCTTTTTTTCTTAAATTAAAAATATAATAAAGGAGATCAAATATTCTCAATAATGAGGATATATTATACCAGCTAAATACTTTATATAGAAAAAAGTTTGAAAATTAATTGAATTAACATGTGAACATTATTTAAATTATTATGAAATTTATTATGGAAGTATTATTAGTACTTTTTGAATTATCATGAGAAGTTCGAATATTACTTGTCCTCATCATGTCAATATGACAAATTTCATAAATAAATAAATAAAAGATTTATTGCCGCCTTTTATTTTCTAAGCTTGGGTTTTGATATTTTCTCCTATTTACATTAAGACTCTTGCATGTGGGAAGACTTATGAAACTCCATAAATTTTTGAAAGCTACCAAAACCCAGCAATTAGGATTAACCAAAGTAGAAGAAGTGCTTAGAAAATCTACTAAAGCAAGTTCAAATTTGATCAATTCCCTATTAAAATTCTCAATTTAATACCTTTCATATCACTCATTGAGAATTCTAAATAAGATTTCTATCATTATTTTAATTGAGAGTAATCATAAAAAACTCAAAACACTTACGATGTAATTAATTATGAGGCTTGCATTCATAGGAGATTTAAGACCATAGAAACAATTAAACTCCATTCTATTTAGCTCCTAAATAAAATGGAGAAAAGAAATTATTCTTCTTGGTAAAATTAAAATCATAGACGATCATTATCGTCATATTCGAACCATGAATGATAAGTGATATTTTTTTTCCTTGGATAAATATATCATTTATCAACGTGTCTTTGAATATAAAATTAATGACAACACATCATGATTATCATTACTAAATATTTAATCAAAATCATTTTAACTCTTTGGGATCATGTCGTTCCTTCTTGAATTTGACCACGATATTCAAGATGAAGTTTATAGTTTTTATAATCTTAACTCATTAGAGAATGATATTTTCATCTTCCTATGTATTATAATGTCATAATAACATGTTCGATTTCAAAACTAAAATTCTAAACATCAAATTTTCTGAAAGAAGATATAATCACAATTGCTTTGAACTTCCAACAAAGCTTGCAAACAAATCACTATTTAATTAATAAGAGAATGAGCAGATAGAAATTCAAATTGATCAATTTATGCTAACTTTCTATTCAAAGTTAGAAATAAATAGATATGTCATTTAATTATTGCTATTAATCAATTCTAATCAATTAAATTATATTTTATTTATCAATTAAAATTAATTCAAAATAAATAAATTATAACTATAAATTATCTTTTTATTTTTGATCAAATAGAACCTGCAAATTTTCTTCTTTTTTCATGTCCATTGGCTCCTTTTGCTATGACAAAACATATTAATAATATAACAAAATTTATTTAATTAATCAATTTGCCATCAATATTAATTTGAGCTTATTAATATTTAAAATGAATTAAAATTAAAATATATATATACAAATGAGCCGTAAAAAGAAATTACTAGATGATTTTTTTTTTTCAACTGAATTTTAGTAATCTATATTAAACTATATTCCTTTGGGTCTCTTTTGAAAGATTGAAAATAGAGAATATATTTTAAAAAATAATAAATTTTCAAAATTGCGTAGTTTAGCTTAATGCAATACTACATCTTTGAAATCCCCATAAGATAGTACTTTTATTTTTACACATAATATTAATGAAAACTAAATCATTATTTTTGTAAATATATTTTTTATCTACAAACAATCAAATGAGCCCTCATAAGAAATCACATAGGCTTCATTTGAGACGGCTTTCTTACTATCTTTTAAAGCAATCTTTTAGTACAAAAATTTTTAATTTTAAAAAGTTATGTTAAAAAATAATTTTAGAAAGCAGAAAGAAAGTTGTCCCAAACGAAGCCATAGTGGTCATTCCTACTTCCAACCTATAGAGAGAGTGAAGATAAAATTTTTATAACTGTATGAAGAGTCTCCACAACAAGAAACATTAAGGATCAAAATTCTTTACAAAAAAGCACACATACTGATCATTCTTTTTACAGTCCAATTTGGTTGGAGAGAGAGAGAGAGAGAGAGAGAGAGAGAGGCGTGGTGTGGTTTAAAGGATTATAGCTGCTTACAGAACTTGCATGTAAAAACATCCACTGGTGAGGAAAAGGCTGACGCCATTTATGCTGCTGCAACTGCAGCTACTGAGAGTCAAGTAGACTCAGTAAGGCCATGGGTTGTTGTCATCGATAGGCTTCTTCACAAAGATCTGATTGTACTCAGGGCGTGAGATCTGCATCAATATATTTTTACAATTCTGTATAAAATTGAAATCAAGATCCAAATATTTGAATTTGCAATGAATCACAGCCATTTCAAAACAGGTTTCAGTTAATTACACGTTATACATGCTCAAGATATGCTGATATTATACTTGTAACCAAATTACACATTGCTGTTAGTTAGAGAGCTGGAAGAATCAGAAGAGAATGTGTTCATCTTATTTCTAAGCAAGTTTCAAACAAATTGAAGATGGGCACACTATAAGGCTTCATTTGGGACGGCTTTTTTATTGCTTCATATAATAACTTTTTAGTAAAAAATTAAAAATTTTATATTAGAAAGCTTCTTTAAGAAGCAGAAAGAAAGTCATCCCAAATGAAGCCTAAATGTGCTGATGCTGCATTTGGTTACATTAGGTTAAAGCATGTTTTAAAAAAAAACAGTTAGTTTATTAGGTTGAATGCAATAAGAAAGCAATATATAATTCTTTGATATTTAAAACTAAATAACAATCATAAAAACTATAAATATATAAAAAGTTCTAGCAGAAAATAATGCTTGGAGACTACAAGATAAATAAAAAATCATAGAAATAGCAAGTTACAACCGCCGACAACAGTTTGCCTAGATTCTAGGAGACTCCAACAAAGTATGAATCAAGAAAGCAAGCATGTATGGATAAAGTTTATATAAATTCTACCATTGTTTCGTTTGGGATGACTTTTTTACTACTTAAAGCAGTTTTTTTAGTACACAAATTTTAAAAAACTGATTTAAGAAGCACTAAGAAAGCTGTCCCAAATGATCCTAAGACATCAGTTTGATGGAAATGGAAATGCTTGGACCCTCAATACCAAATAATAATTGAGAAAAATAGCAATTCTAAATGGACAAGGATGGGCTTCAGTTTGATTGTGAATGTTGGAGATACCATTGTTAATAAGACAAAATATAAAATCTACCATGTTTTAAATCAACTAAGAAAAGCTTCAGTTTGATTGAAATGCTTGAAAAATAAAGTCCAGGTTTCTACAATTCAACCATTTAGTGCAACGGCATTAAGGCATAAGTTTGATTGCAATGTTTGGACAGCAAAAAAGAAATACGAATTGTAAAGTCTACTGATGTGGTATTCCACGGAAGAAGCAGGTTCACACAAGATGAAATCAAAGAAGGCAATAGAACAGTAATGGCTAAGGCCAGGAAAATGTATTTTCTCAACTAAGTTCCCCTTCTTCTCCCGGAGAAGAAAAACAGAGGAGGCCATTTCTCAAAATGGCAACAGACAAGCTGGCAGAAAAAGAGAACCTGCAGCTAACTAAACAAAGTAATTTCTGTTGGTGGAGCAGCCACCTCTAACGGAACTCTAAAGCTTAAAATAAAAACAAGTAGTAAATAATTAAACTAGATAATACTTAAAGCAAATGACTAGATCAGCAGCCGACGGCTTGATGCACCGCATCATTCTCCCCTATCAACAGAAGAGTCTGAATCGGATGAAGAAAGACTCGTAAGCCGTATCGGGTGGGTGGTACGCAGCAAGGTCGACAATGTTGAACGTGGAAGAAGTATTGTAATGTTTAGGCTTGTCCACTGTCCACCACATACGCATTGGGGTTGATTTGCTTCAGCACGGCGTATGGCCCAATTTTGCGTCGACTCAACTTAGAGTAAGTTCCTGGAGGGAATCGTTCACGCTTTACCCGAATCATCACCAAATCTCCTGGTTTAAAAGACCATTCTCTCTTTGTCTTGTCTGCATCCTCCTTGTATTTGGCATTAGAGTCTACCAGCTTAGCACGTACCTCTTCCAACATCGTGGAGAATTGGGCGGTGAACTCGGCGGCAGGTTTGCTGTTACATTTGGGTAGAACGGCCAAGTCAACTGTGTGGTTGGGATTTTTGGTGTAGACAATGCTGAATGGGCTCCTTCCGGTAGAATGGTTTGTCATGCTGTTGTAAGCAAACTCAGCTTGCCCCAATATTTCATCCCAAAGCTTCGGGTGCTCCTGCACTACGCACCGAAGCATATTGCCTAAAGTTCTGTTTATGACTTCGGTCTGCCAGTCCGTTTGCGGATGGTAAGCTGAACTCAGCTTGATATCAGTGTGTAGGCGCTTCCATAGCTCCTTCCAAAAATTGCTAATAAATTTAACATCACGATCAGAAGTTAAGCTCCGTGGCAAGCCATGTAACCGAACGATCTCGACAAAGAAAATTCGCGCCACATTCAGTGCATCAAAAGTCTTTTTGCATGGCACGAAATGCGCCATTTTAGAGAATCGATCAACTACTACCATGATCGAATCATGCCCACGCTTAGTACGCGGACCCGCGGTAGCCCCATTACAAAATCAAGACTTAAGTCTTCCCAAATTGTCTCGGGTGTAGGCAATGGCAGGTATAAACCGCTAAGTTGTCCCCCTGTTTTGTAACTTTGACAAATTGGACACCTTTCAACAAATCTCATAACATCCCGGTGTAAATGAGGCCAGTAGAATCGGGACTGGAGCTGCAGGTATGTGTTTGTTCTCCCCACGTGTGCCGCAAGGCCTCCGCAGTGAATGTCCTTGATTAACTGGGGTCTCCACGACGACTCAGGTATGCAAATTTGGCTTCGCCGGAACAAGAAGCCATGCCGGATAGTGAACTCAACATTGGAATTTTCCTTTTGGCAAGCTTCCCAAATATTCTTGAAATCTGGATCGGTTGCATATAGATCCTTTAAACATTCTAGCCCCGTGATCTCCGTCTGTAGCTGTGTAAGGAGTAAATTGCGACGACTGAGCGCGTCAGCTACAACATTTTGTTTTCCCGACTTATGCTTCAACACAAACGAAAATCGTTGTAAGAATAAAATCCATCTTGCGTGCATCCGGTTAATGTGCTTCTGCTTGTTGATAAATTGAAGTGCTCGGTGATCACTGCACAAGACAAACTCTTGGTGCAAAAGATATGGTTCCCATTGCTTGAGTGCTCGCACCACGGCGTACAATTCTTGCTCGTACACGCTCCACTTTTGACGGGAAGGGCATAACTTCTCGCTGAAAAACTCGACAGGCCGATTCTCCTGACTTAAAACTGCTCCTATCCCGATGCCTGAAGCGTCCGTGTCCACGTAAAACGGCCTGTCGAAGTTGGGTAAGGCTAGCACCGGTGCAGAGGACAAGGCTCTTTTGATTTGGCAAAGCTGCTCGCCTGATCATCGCCCCACTGGAACTGCTTTAACTTCAAACAATCAGTGATTGGTGACATCACCAAGCTGAAATCCTTGATGAAACGGCGGTAGAAATTGGCGAGTCCGTGGAAGCTACGAACTTCAGTGAAGGACCTCGGTATTGGCCAATTGGCGATGGCATCCACCTTCCGCTTATCAACGTGAACACCTGCAGCGGAGATAAAAAATCCAAGGAAATAAACGGCAGAAGCACCGAACTCGCACTTACTCGGGTTTAAGAAGAGCTGATTTTGCCGGAGAACATTAAAGATCTCTGTCAAATGCACTACGTGATCGGTCAATGACGAGCTGAAGACAAGAATGCCGTCAAAGTAAGCTACACTGCTGACGTTCAAAAATGGCTTGAGCACCTCGGTCATGAGACACATAAAGGTGGACGGGGCGTTGCACAATCCGAACAGCATGACTCTCCACTCATAGAGCCCATGACGAGTTTTGAATGTCGTCTTCCATTCGTCGCCTGGCCGGATCCGAATTTGGTGGTAGCCGCTGCGGAGATCAAGTTTGGAAAATATAGTAGCGCCCGCCAACCTTTCCAATAGCTCTTCCACTCGTGGTACCGGAAATCGGAATTTAACCGTAATTTTATTGATAGCGCGGCTGTCCATACACATTCGCCAGCTTCCGTCTTTCTTTGAAACCAAGAGTGCCGGCACGGCACATGGGCTGAGACTTGGTTGAATCAACTGGTTCTTCAGTAAATCATCTACAAGTTCCTGGAGTATTTGGTGTTCTGTTGGGCTCAGGCGATGATGGGGTAGGTTCGGTAAAGTTGACCCTGGCACAAAATCAATTTGGTGCTGCAAAGAGCGGAGGGGCGGCAGTGTGGTCACGGCATCTGTCAACACATCCTGAAACCGCTTAAGTAGATCCTTGATCAGCTCCTGCCCCGAAGCTTTACAGTCCGGTGCAGTCTCCCGGATGACTAGAGCAAACAGTGGTGCGTTCTCCTTACAGGAAGTTAGTAAGCCATTTCCCGTAACTAAATGCAGAGCTGGACGAGCTGATTCCGCTCTAGTTTATGTCGTGGTGGAGTGTGGTAATAAACGAAGTCGTTTTCCTTTCCACTCCAATGCGTAAGTGTTGGCTCGTCCATCATAGATGGCACCCACGTCAAACTGCCATGGTCGACCGAGTATCAAAAGGCAGACGTCCATTTCCAAGACGTCGCACAACACCTCACACACATAGTGCTTCCCAATGGAGAATTGTACTCAGCAGGTTTCCGTCACAGAGATCTTCATTCCCTTTTTAACCCAACTAATCTTGTAGGGCTGAGGGTGTTTCGTTGTCTTGAGTTGTAACGCGTGCACTACCGCCTTTGACACCACATTTTCGGTGCAACCACTGTCCACAAGAAGGTCACAAACCTTGCCACCGATGGTGCATTTAGTTTTAAAAATGGAATGCCGATGTGACTGCACAACTTTACGTGGAGCTAGCAACAACTTTTCAAGCACACATATCAACGGCTCTCCGTCATCTCCAATGACGTCTTCAACTTCGACTTCTTCTTCGAGCAGTTCGTCCTCATCTTCCCCTTCACCTTCCAGGAGTTGCAATTGTTGACGGTTTGGGCACTCATTCGACTTGTGTCCCGGTTGAAAACAACGGAAGCACTTGAGGCCTTGAGGCCTCAGATAAGGATTTTCCCTGCCGGGAAATTTCGGTTTAACTGGTGCTTTGGGGTCAGAGATTGGCTTGAGTGGTTGAGAGAGCCCACTACTCTCGGCTGCCAAAGGCGTCTTACGCACAGCGGTTCCAGGTTGTTTTGGTAAGTCCAATCCCGCTTCCACATTCTGCTTTCGATAGGTACCGCTTCGCGAGTGCCGTCCCAACTGAATTTCGGCCTTAAGAGCAAAGTTCACAGCCTGCGAGAGCGACCACACTGAGTTCAGCTCCAATTTGTCCTGGATGCTCTCTTTCAACCCTCCTATGTATCTGGCCAAGAGCTGGTTGGTTGTCTCGTTCAAGTCATTCCTTGCGGATAAGCTATAAAATTCCTCCGTATATTCGCTAACAGAGCGATTACCTTGGGTACAATGTTGATACTTCAGGTATAGCATTTGTTCATAATCAGTAGGAAGGAAATGCCCGCGCAACAACTGCTTCATTCTGATCCAACTGCGGACTGGTCCGCGGCCCTCCCTACGACGCCACTGCAGCAACTGAGACCACCAAGCGCTAGCCCCTCCTTTGAGTCTACACGCCACGTATTTGACCTGTTTTTCTGCCTCAATCTCCATATAGTCAAAGAAATTCTCGACTGACCGTTCCCAATCTAAATAGTCCTCGATGTGCAGTCTCCCGTCGAAAAACGGAATGTCCAACTTCACTCGGAACTCGCCTTGATGTCGGTCACGTCCAGCATAACGCCGAGGACGACGTTCTGCCAGATCTACGTCGGAGTCGGAAAATCCCTCCGGGATAAAACTGATATGGTCTTCCTCCGAATCTGAGAGCTCGGGAAGCAATGCCGCACGCCGCCTAGTTCGATTTTGATATCCCCTGTTTCCCTCAGCTTGAGTGATAGTGTGCGGTGCAGGTCGTCCCGCTCGGAACGGAACTTCTCCCGTCCGAACGAGTGGTGGCTCACGACGTAATGCGGCGGTTAGACGATCCACAGCAGCTGCGAGATCATCCAGCCGTTTCTCAACTCCAGCGTGCGCAGCCCAAAGTGCCTCCAAACTTCGGTTCTCCTCGCTCGTCGCACGCTTGCTGGACTCTGCCATCTTTCCAAGCCACTGGCTCTGATACCAAGATGATGTGGTATTCCACGAAAGAAGTAGGTTCACACAAGATGAAATCAAAGAAGGCAATAGAACAGTAATGGCTAAGGCCAGGAAAATGTATTTTCTCAACTAAGTTCCCCTTCTTCTCCCGGAGAAGAAAAACAGAGGTGGCCATTTCTCAAAATGGCAACAGACAAGCTGGCAGACAAAGAGAACCTGCAGCTAACTAAACAAAGTAATTTCTGTTGGTGGAGCAGCCACCTCTAACGGAACTCTAAAGCTTAAAATAAAAACAAGTAGTAAATAATTAAACTAGAAAATACTTAAAGCAAATGACTAGATCAGCAGCCGACGGCTTGATGCACCGCATCATCTACCGAGTGAATGGATAGCAGGTTCCAGTTTTAGGCAGTATAAATGGACTAATACAGGGCTTAAGTTTGATTGCAATGCTCTAAGAATTGAGAATCCTACAACAGTTACTAAAATTAACGATTACAAAGAGAAGGTTGGTGACTCCAAGAAAACCAGTATGCTTGAAGAAGCTAAATCAATCCTATTTTTACAAAACAGGATCAAGATAAAATACTCCAGAGCATAAGACAAGAATACCCGTAAAGAAGTTCAGAAAAATTTAGATCAAATACTTCACAGAAAATTTGAATTTGAATATCTGGTAGAATGCTGATGGGAGGTGCAAACAGACTCGGCTGCCGAATACTATAGAGGGTGCAAATACTACACAAAGCTTCAATTTGATTGCAATGTTTGAAGAGAAGACTAAAGGCTCATATGGGACAGCTTTTTTACTGCTTTTTAAATAAGCTTTTTAGTACAAAAATTAACATTTTTTTACTAAAAATTGCTTTAAGAAGCAATAAGAAAGCCGTCCCAAACAAAGCCTAAGAGGATGTTTGATCTGATGTTATCCATATAACATTGCTATCTACATAAAATTAGAGATTGTTTGGTTTGATTATATCTTCAATTTTGAAGTAAGCTATATAGCATTAGCACCTAAGATGGCGACAAATTTAGGTGCTGTTTAGATAACCTCAATCTTGATGGCTAAAATATACAGAAAATAAATAAGCATTCATTATTCAAAATAAAAGCATCGAACCAAACAATTTGTATTTAATAAATAAGAATAACATTGTCATCTAGATATAGCACTGTATCTATATAACATCAAACCAAACAACCCCTAAACAATACTTCAGTTAGCAAGCAAGAGGAAGAGGCCGTTGGCCAAAGTTAAAAAGAAGCTTAAAATGAACATTTCAATAATGTCTCAAAAACTATAAGTAATAGTGTAATACCAAAAAAATCTAATTAATTAATTTAAGAAAAAAATGAGCATGAAGAAATTTACATTCCAGACTGTTGCCTCATTAAACACTTATCCCAAGTTGGGTTTTTACCAGCGTATGAAGGAAGAAAGATATTTCATTCTCGCATTCCAATCAAGTCACTTCCTTTGTGGAGTGAGATCATAAAGATGTCTTCTAAAGAACATATGGCATTTATTCATAGAACAAAAGTCTTTGGTTGCTGCTTTCCAGCAGCACAATAACAGAGCTTGTTTTTAGGCCAGTTCATTGAACCGGCCCAGCCGGCCCAAAGGCCAGCTCAGGTTTACAGGAGGCGGCCTCCCTTCCCTTAGTCTGCCCAAACTAGTGGGCCCCACTACGAGTAAATTGATGAGAGGGAGTTGGGCGGCTGGGTTGAGAGGGAAATTTTAAATTGAGGATGTTTGAATTAGGAAATTAATGTATTAATAGTATGGCTTGTTTAGGGTTAGGGGGATGCATGCTTTTGATTTGCTTTCTCTTGGAGTTCCTTGGCGTCCTGGCTCTAGATTCTCTGTCTAGAGATTGGGAGAGAACAATCCTCCTCTCGAATTGAGGATCACTTGTATCTTGTTTTTTGTGTTTGTCTGGCTTTGATTCCCTTGCTGCAATACAACGTTTTGGGGCTTATTTCGCCCAGATTTTGCATTATTCTCACTGTTTTCACCAATTAGTGATAGGGTTGCTTGCGAACTCAAGTATTTCCCTTAGGGTTACTTGCGAACTCAGGTATTTCCTATCACTTGTTAACAAGATTAGGATGGCACAGTAAACTGAACACCCATGCTTCAACTAGGAACTCCTGATTTCTTTGCAAACCATTTTGATCAAAACTAACTTCATGGATGATTTTATTTAATACTTAACATTATAGTGTGTTAAAGAAGGCTTATTTTGAGCTATTTCATTTAGATTTCATAATGACCCGATGCGATTTAATAGTGGCCTAGAGCTCAAATTTTATTTGCAGTTTGGAGATCCACAAGTTCACGACCATGAAGCAGTTGTAGCATATTTTTACGATTGTTTTGATAAGCCAACACAATTATTAACAATCAGTTCTGTGACAAGAGTTGTGGTTGCAAATATGCGTAAGCGACAGGATTTGAGATTAAAACTCACGTGCAAAAAACCTATATTTATGTGTCTCCAATTGCTTTACAGACACTATAAAATTAGAGACCTCAAACTCTCCCTTAAAATTTTGCTAAATAATCCCCTCCTAGAGAGCAACAGCTCTAAGATTTTAGGTTGTCGCAACTAGTTTCCTAAAGTAAATGTCTGAGCAGAAATCTATTCAGATCAGCTCTTTTTTGTTATTCGTTGATTAACTTTCCTTGGCAGAATTTTCTTTAGAGGATGAAAAATTTACTACATGATGCTAAAGTAAAAGGTAAATTTTCATTGTCATATTCCAATCAAGTTAACTTCCCATCAACTTAAGTTTAATAAATTTAGAAAATTTGAGGCATGTAAGGAGCATTTGGCTTACTAAAATTTCAAATTCTCTTTCATTCTTATGAGCACTTATTAAATGTTGAGTTCTTTGAGTGTAGTACAAGTGAGATTATTACTGTGCAGCAGAATTAATCTCCATATATTAGAGTGAAACTTGGCTTTTATCTACCAGGTGAATTATTACCTTCTTTTCACATCTATATTATTCGTAATTGGTTAGCAAGTAAACTTAATTTCAATAAAACTTGTTTATAGTTTGATTTCTATTTGTAGTCTAAAATCTAATTGACTCCATCATCCTTCTGGCATCGAAATTTTCATTGATTTCTTTGCTTTAAACAATCATTAGATTATTGTTTAGCTGGATTTCTTGTATTTTCAAGTTTACATCAAGTTATTATCTTGTTGTTACATCTATAATATGCGTAACTGCTTTGCAAGCAAAATTAATTTCAATCAAATTTCTTTACAAGTGGATTTTTAATTGTGGTATGAAATTTGATCAACTCTTGATTTTTGTGGACATCAAAACTTTTGTTGATTTATTTTCTTTAAACAATCATTAGATTATAATTTACCTTGGATTTCTAGTATTTCATGATTACATCAAAATAATGTAAGTAGTAATTTTAATTGATAGTCTTTGGAACTAAGAATTTGAAATCTAATTTGTGTGGTTTCATACTTTGTATATTTAGTTGTATTAGGAACCCTATACCCTTAGACATCCTAGATCAATAATAGTTCTATATGTTAAGTTATGAAAAAGAAAAATTCTTTAACTAACTCATACAAGTTTCCTACCTACCTCCTATAAACTCAAAAACCATCATTCTCTACCTAACATTTATATTATGATATATAACACCATCTACCTAAATAATTTCAAGATAGTTACATAGGTGAATATCACTGAATCATGTAAATTTATGTCATGATTTTGATCTTTTTCATGTTTATTCTTCATCTTCATTTGAAGTTTAATGACTATCCTAACAATATATTGAAGTAAAACAAATTTTAGTTCTTAATATACTAGCAATGAACCTTATATAGTGGTTTAATTTTTAGGTTAAAATGGATGTAATTAGTAGTACATTAAGCCTAATTTTTTCCCCCTTTGAACCACAATTCCTAACAAGAAGCAACACAATCGATGGCTCAATAAGGATTATGTTTATGATTTGCGGCTCCCATGATCTTCACATACTCTATCATTGTCTAGCAAGATTCAAGGGTGCTTAAATCCTATACAAGCTTCACATGTTTAAGTTGGTTGTTGGTACATTATATTTTATGTAGTTGAAAGACATCATTTTAAGAAGGCAGTATTTGCTAGTGGCTAATGTAGAAAACTCACCTGTGAATGGGAGATGGTCTACATGCATAACAGAGCTAAGATTAGTTCTACATCAGAAGTGAAAAGAAAAAGTTTTACATTGAAGGTGAAAAGAAGAAGTGTATTAGTATACCTGTAGTAGTCTATACCTATAGAATTAACCTTTTCAAATGATGGGTTTCAATCCAGTAATATATTAGGCTCAAGTTGGGTCTTCTTTGGACTACACTCCCTAACACTGGAGACCAATGACACAAAGTTTTCAGTTAATTTCTGATTAGAATAGTTGATAAACCATACCACATTGTCAATTGACTCAATTCACTGCTGAGTTATACCATATTTATCCAATTACATCTTTGACATCTGATCTTAATATTCTGGTGTTGAATGTGTGTTCCCTAATGCTACCTTAAATCCTTTTTCGAAGAATACAACCGGCACAATTTTGCTCTCACAACGTTTACCATCAACTTAGATTGACATGAATAAACAAGCGACACGCATCGAATCTCTCGTGGATGTCTCCATACCCCTAACAGCCAAATTAAAAGCCCGCTTCGACAAAGTTAACCTAACAAATCAGAAACTCAACTATTCCATCCAAAACTTCATCTTTCGGATAATGATGATAAAAAAAAAATGTAAAAAGGATTCAATTTTGCTAGTTTTCCGTTGTCAAGAGAAGGTAGCGATACTTGGGAACTCACCAAATCCTTGAATTTGAGGAACGCGATTACGAAGAAAGCGAAGAAAAGGATCTCGAACTCGGCCAAGCGGACAAAAGAGAATACTGAGTTGACCGCTCTCGTTATCAGCGATTCACGCTTGATCTGGCCGCCACGCCGACCTCCGCTGTCGCCACCGCTTGTCGGCATCTCCAGTGGGTCGCGTACTAGGATGTATTCCTTCTGAAATTTTTAAAACCAATCTTCTAAGGGCCTGTTTGGTAGGATTTACGCTTTCCCGTCGATGCCTTCGCCAGCGAGCTCTCGTCGCGAACTTATTAGGGTTTCGAAGGACCGGAAGGGGAATAGAAAACGAGGGATTTCCAATATAAAGGCGTACTGCGGTAAGTTTAGGAGCGGTAACCAAAATTTTCTGCAATTAAGTTCAATAATTAGCATTAATTAACTAAAATATTAAGTTAAGCAAATTAATATTATTAAATTCCCCAAAAAAAATTAATATTATTTTTCATTTGATTTAATTAAATAAAAAATATTATACTAAATTATTTTACCAATTCATTATTTAATACTTAATCAGTTAATTATTGTAATTAGAATTGATAAACAAATAAATTAAAACTATTATTATCCAATCAAATAAATTATATAGAGATATATTGATTATATAATTAAATCAGCTTTACTAATTAGTATTAGTAAATAAAAAATATTAACTAAACCAAATTGATATTTTTTTTCATTTCATATAACTAAATAGAAGTTTTTATTTAATTAGTTTGGTACAGTAATAATTCATAATTAATTAAGGTGTTATATTATTCTAATTATGATTTAATTTAATTATTTCAATTAATATTAATTTAGACTAATTTAATATAATAAAACATCACAACCATATAAATCTTTAAATTGTGAACTAAATAACCAATATTTTATCTAGATTTAATAATATTTAACAAGCATACTAGATGATTTTTTAATTTAACCGTTTAAAGCCCTGATTTTTTCTTAAATTGCAAAAGTATCATAGTTGTATTTCAAGGTTTTGTGTATATATCCATTTAAATTTAGGTTTCATTTGAGAAAAAAATTTTGTTACTTTATAAAACTACTTTTTAATACAAAAAATTTTCAATTCAAGAAATTTTTGTACAAAAAAGTCATTTTAGAAAGCAACAAAAGAAACTATAAACTTTAGTTTAGTGCTTAAGAGAATTAAGGGGGATTTATATGGAAACATAACACAACTTAGAAGATAAATTTCACAGCACTCTAAGGGCTCATTTGGTTATTACTCAGAAGTATCTAATAAGTTCTCATCAAGAGATTCATTAAGAGGGATCACATGGTTAAAGTGGTAAGCCCCCTCACATTCTCCCTAAGCATAAACTTACAAAGCAGTAGCTAAAACCAGCTTGCAGTCAAACATCCGTCCTTCCCCATGAAGATCATTCATTGTGTGCAAACTGACTATGGGAGAATAGACTAAAATTGCAATCATCCTTGGCAAGCTCCTCTAATGGACTCACTCAAATCAATTCATGCATTAGGACGACTCGCCTTAATCAAACCTCGTTCATCTATAGTAATTGTTTGTGATTAAGGCCACTCATCAACCACATACATCCCTGATCAAGCTATAAGAAGTGTGCACCTGTAAAGCCTAGGACTATGACTTCACTGATTAAACTTGTCCTTTGTTTATAGCCACTTTCACCTAGGTGCTCACCCTCGCTTCCAAGGACTCAACTTTCATTTCTAGGGGCCTGTCTCTTATTCGTAGGGGCTTGCTTACGCAGACTTTCCTTGCCACATTAGAGATAAGGTTCCTTCCTTGCATATAACATCAAGCTTGACCACGTCATTGTGTCAACATGTAACCATCAAATCATATACTATTTTAATTTTATTCTAAGTTTATCATTTCCTATGGCCCTATGGACCCTATGAATAGATAGTGGCGGCATATTTTAGATTATTATTGATATGTTATCATGAAATTATCTTGATTGGACACGAATCTCGATGCAAAACCCAACTCGGAAACTTCAAAAATTAAATCCGGAAGCACCCGAACTACGATTTCAGTGAGCTTACAGTCAAACTGAGCGTCTCAGAAATACGAACCCAACGACACCAAATTCAACCCAATCCGAGCCCAAATGGGTCTGAATCAAGGACCCAAAGCGCTGTTGGAAGTTCAAACCGCAATTTGAGTTACCAAACGGTCTCCGATTTTAACGAGCTTATACTCGAATCGAGCGGCTCGACAAGACGAATCCAACGAGCCCAAGATCGTGGAATTCCAACATCATTAAGACCTCCAAATGTCCAACAAACGGTGCACGATCGAAGGGTTCAATATCGTCCGTCCATTCAAACCACTCCCTATTCGCCTCTGATCTCACACCTATTTACGAGCCATGCCACTCCAGAAAAACTATAAATAGAGCCCTCATTCTTCACAAAGGTGACTCAAGTGAAGAGAGAGAAGAAGAAGAGAAGAAGAGGATAAAGGGGAAAAGGAGAATACTCTCCTCCTCGACCACCGCCAGAGTTCGTCCTGCCACCCGAACACGTTGGGATTCTACGTGATATTCGGGAGAATGCAGGAATTCTGCCCAACTTCCACGTGATGCTGAAATTCTTCCCAATTTACAACAGAGTTCCCTCCTGACGCCGAAACTCCGCCCAAGTGAAGCCGGAGTTCTCCTCTGCCACCAACAGACGCTGGACTTCTACCCGACGTGGGACCTTCACTCTTCGCCAAGTTTCTACCCGATGCCGGACTTCTACTGGTTATCGGACTTCGCTGGTCGTCTATGCAAAGATGGATTTCTTTCCTTTGTTGGACTTCCACTTGACGTCGTCCTTCTGATCTTCGTCGTCAGACAACAGTTCTTCTGACCTCCGTCGCCAGCCGACTACGGTCTTCCTTACTTACGTCGCCCGCCGACTATAGTTTTTTTGACATCCGTCACCCGTCGACTACGGTCCTCCTGATTTATGTCGCCCGTTGACTACAGTCTTTCCGACCTCTGTTGCCCGCCGACTACGGTCCTCCAGACTTACGTCGTCCGCAACTACAGTCTTTCCGACCTCTGTCGCCCGCAGACTACAGTCCTCCTGACTTACGTCGCTCGCCGACTACAGTTCTTCCGACATATGTCGCCCACCGACTACAAGTCTTCCGACCTCCGTCACCCTCCGACTACGGTCCTTCCGACCAAACGAATATGTCAACAATGACTGTTTGTATTAACATCATGTAATGTACTCCATAAGATGTACATCAAGCTAAGACCTTCCACCAAGGAAGGACCTCATTTGTAATCAACTACAATACTAGTGGATTCATTCAAACTGAACTAGGTCCCGTGGTTTTTTCCCCCTTTCAGGGGTTTTCCACGTAAAAATCTAAGATGTTATTATTGCATAACTGAGAAGCCTAATTCTTCTCTACATTGCATGTTGTATAAAGTTTCATATGGGAGAACTTTTTGCCAGTACTTTTTTATTACTTTTAAAGAAATTTTTATTAACAAATTGTTGTAGAAAGTCGCAATAAAACTTTCTCAAATAAAGCCTAAATCTATTCTTAGGCTTCGTATGAGACAACTTTCTTATTGTTTCTTACAACAACTTAAATTTAAATTTTTTACAAAAAATTCTTTTAAGAATCAATAAGAAAGCTGTCTCAAACAAAATCTTAGACTTTGTTTGGGATGACTTTCTTACTGCTTCTTGAAGTAGTTTTTTTAGTACAAAAAAATTAATTTTCGTATTAAAAATCTGCTTCAAGAAACAATAAAAAAAAAACCGTCCCAAACAAAGCCTTAGCCTCTTCTACCAACAAAAACTGCAAAGTTGTAAGAAATATAGCTGTAAACATCTAAAGTTTGGATTTTGGTAGGCTGCATTGGGCCCCAATTTACTTGAATCCTTCTATGTTTTTTTACCTTAGTACATTTATTTAGCTTTCATAGGATCCTCTGTACATTTTCTAAATAAAAAAGTACAAAAAATAAAACTAAAATTTCACATTAAAACCATAGCCATTTTTACTAAGGCTCTGAAAATAAAATAAAAATAAAATGGGCCCTTCCTCTAATCAACATTTTGGAAATTGAATGAGACAGCATGACCTTGCAAGTCTCTGTGTCTCATTCAATCCTACAAAAAAATTCTCAAAATGCTCAGATTGTTCTTTTAGGGTAAAAAAATTATTGACTTCTCATATATGCTGTTAATTTTCATTCCAAAAGATTTATTAAATTTTCCATAATTTTAATTAGATTACTCAATATATATAAATTTATTGATTCATATTGAATTTTTGGATGATAATTTTATAAATAAAAATATTTATGTGATTCATAAATAAACATTTTTATTTAAAAAAAAACCTACATAATGCTAAATTACAAAGTAAATTTTTTCATATAATAATAATTCATCATAAATAATTATTTTAAAAATAAAATTTGATTGTCATATAGATGAGCAATTTATCTAGATAGCACACCAAAATTCTCCTATTTATATATTTAACAGATTAACTTAATTATTTACTCATTCATTAGTCAACTCATTATGTAATATAAAAATGTCATAATTCTCACCCTAAATGTTCTCAACTCTTCTTCGTCGTCAAGGATTTTCAGTATACATGTTGTTGACCCCGTCAGTTTGACCCTAGATGTGTTCCAACTTTCTTTTTAGACTTATTATTCTGTACAGAGTCTGAAGGTCATCCGGAGACTAATAAAAAAGTGTCACGTCACCCCATTGCTTGGTACCGAGCTAAGTACCTACGCTCGGTACCACTCGGTACCGCTGGGTACTCAGCGCTTAACCGGACGTCCGATGTCCGCACAGAATAATAGCTCTTCTTTTTGACTTTTTATTTTTTATTTTTGAGGGTTCCAAGACTGTAAAAGATATCAGTCTTATCGATGGTATTTCCCTACTGAGATATTATCAAGATTTTTCTATCCGTACATGCCATCATCCTTTGGATGCCCTTTGTCTCGAGATCCAATCAGGTTGATACCCTTTTGCCACGATTAATTATTCTATGCGGATGTCCAACGTTGTCCGCATACCAACTAGAATATGTTACATCACACCTGAGCTCGGTACCGCTAACGTGGCTCATTCTGATTGGTATCCGGATAACGTTCTACATCCAGTCTCTGCACAAAATAATCTCCTTTGCCACAAGATCTTGTGGTGATTCTCTTTGCATGTATGAGAGATGGGGTTAATCAAATGATATATTAAGTAATTAGTAAAGTGAATATATAAAAGATGTAAATAGCACGATATTTAATATTATTTATTTAAGTCCTCCATTGTAAATTTGGTGAAAATACCTTAATATATTAAATTAACATGCCGTAATTTTTATCTGAAAACCTCCCTGTACTATTTTTCCTCTTTTACCTCTCCAGCCCAACATCTCAATCTCGGCAGAAACCTGTTCTTCCATTATGTGAACTCGCACTCTCAGTAACAATTTCAGCCCCAACCATCATTTCTCACTCTTCTCCTCATCTCCCCAAGATGCCTCTTATCTCTTGCATTCAATGTCTCCTCCTTCTCCTCCTCCTCCTCCTCCTCCTCTTCCTCTCCTCCATCTCCACCGAATCCCTCCTTTCTAATGTAAGTCCTCTAATTCCTTACTTTAATCACCTTTCCAAAGCTTTTCCGTTTACTTCCCAAATTTCAGTCCTTTCTGATGCAAAAAAACTGCAAATTTTCCGCAGGAGACAGAAAGTCCAGCTTTGGCGGCTAAGTCAGAGATGCGGCCGGTGGCAACGGCGACGGTGCCGGAGTTCCGGCCGGCGGTGTTCAACGAAAGGCGTCGGCTTGGGAGATTTCAGATATGTGCCCTCTGCACCTGCTGCGGAGGCCCAAAAGGCCTCTGCTTTGCTTGTCCTTGTTGCTACGCAATAAACTGCAATATACCAAACAGGCCCTTCGGCTTTTGCTCATTCATTCCCAAGACCTGTAATTGCTTTGGATGCCATCTCTGATTTCTTTTATTTTTTCTCTAAGACAGAGAAGCTGTTTCCAACTCAATTTTAACCACTCTTGTTTTTCTGTCTTGATTTGCCTTCTCAATGCTTGTTTCTGTGTGCTTAGTTGGAGTTATTTGGCTTCTTTCTGTGGACGTTTGTGAGTGCTTTGGGAAAAGCCAAAGCTTATCTATGTTGGATTTCTTACAAAACAAAACTGTCGAAAGACATTAGGAGAAAAAGGCTTTAGCTTTGCCTTTGTTGGTTAAGTAAAAAGCTTGGTTTGAAGGACTATGTTGGATGAAGGAGTTTTAGAATGCTCAGTGATATGCCATAGATCATTCATCCAACGATCTTGGAAGCTTATTCATGATGCATTTTGTTCTAACATATGAACCCTAAATTTTATTTTGTGAAGAAAATATGCTTAGCAATTTTAGTCGCAAGAAATCTAATATTTGCTAATTTTTTCATTAAGAGCTTTTTGAAATTTCATTATATTTTTGGCTATTCTAATTCTTTCTTATAAAAGATGGGTATTAGATACATTTGTGGGTGAATTTCAAAATAGTTTCTCAATTATTAATATATGATCAATTAAATCTTAGAGTATTAAGTTGCGCTAATTTAATACTTTGGCTATACAAAATTGATTCAAATTGGGATCAATTTTGTATAGCCGAAGGACTAATGTGGGATCAATTTTATATACAATTACAACACGTGGGATTATTTTAGATCAATTTTGTATTATCGAGAGACTAAATTGGAGCAACTTGATACTCTGAGACTAATGCTTCGTTTAGGACGGAATTTTTACTGCTTCTTAAAACAATTTTTAAATACAAAAATTAAATTTTTTATACTAGAAAGCTGTTTTAAGAAGCAGTAAGAAAATCGTTCCAAACAAAGCCGACATTGATCTAAACAAATAGTATGAGAACTATTTGGAATTTTTTCGATTAAATTCTGAGTTATAATTCCTCATACTTGAATGAATATATATAAAATTCTCTTAAATTTTTTTTTTTTGCTGATCATAAGATAAAACTTAATTGCCATGAGGTAGCTGGACTAGTCTGAAAGGGTGAAAATGCACTTACATGTTTAGATGAGCATTAAGAACTGTAGAAGTATAGGGTGGCTGGCCGTTGGAAAGAACATTAAATTTCTATCAATGATAGGGTGGGGTTCTGTTGTGAGATTCATGTGAGCTGTCTATTTATTGGTTGTTTATTTAGTTTCCTTATCTCTGTTGCACATTTCAACATTCAACATTTATATCAGCTGAAGCCAATATATTTAGCATCATATTTATATCAAATATTATTAAAAATATGATTTTTAAAGGAGCTTTAGGCTTCATTTGGGATGGCTTTCATACTGTTACTTAAAATTAGAGCTGTCAATAATGGACCCGACCCGAAAACCCGACCCGAACCTGACCCGAAAATTTCGGGTTAGGGTTGACCTGAATCCAAAACGGATCGGGTTCGGGTCTGAAAAATTGACCCGTTTGCAAAACCGGGTCGGGTTCGGGTTGACCCGGACGGGTTCGGGTCCAGGAAATTGACCCGTTTGTAAAAACGGGTCGGGTCGACCCGAACCCGAACAGTGCCGGGTCAATTTCGAGTTTGACCCGAACCCAACCCGTGACCTGAAATTGACACCCCTACTTAAAATAGTTTTATGTACCAAAAATAAGAAAGTCGTCACAAAGAAAACTTTAGGATAGTGTGCCTCGTCTTGTTATTCGTGAAGATAAACAAGTACTCTTCATGAATAGAAGGATCACTTTAAAGTCTATGTAAATTAAATAATATATATGCAACCATATATACATATAGTTGAGTGCTATTGAATAAGTTCATATTCATATTCAACTTGTTCAGTTAGGTATTTAAAAAAAAAATTTATTCAACTACAAAATTACTATTGAGGGTAAGTTATAACTTTTTATAAAATTGATTATAATGTTAATGAGAGAAAAATAATTTAATTACTCGGATTATAAAAGCATTCTTCCAACACAAATATTTCGAAAAAAGTAATAAAAAAGCAAGAAAATAATAGTGAACTGAAATTGTGATTGTTATCTAAAAAGAATAATAACAAGAAAAATATCTCAAACAAATCCTAAATAACAACCAAAATTATGGCAAATTTTATATTTAAAAATTAAAAAAAACTGAATTTTTTTTCTTAAAAATCATTCTGATTCGTTGATTTTATATTTGAGATTTTGTGGCTAAAAAAGAAGAATATAATGAAAATAAAATCATATAAATTTAAGTGTTTTTTTTGTTTGTGAATCGTTGAAATAAGGGAACTCCGCCATTTCTTCCCTATGTTTTGAAAGATTATTACGTGCGGTCATCGGACCGTCCGAGATCAATCAGGAGCACTATGTCACTCAATACACAACGGTACACAGTAACAATACATAACATATTGGTAATATTTCATGTCTTGATTGGCCTCTGGACAGAACCTGCTGACCTCACATAGTAATTTTACCTATGTTCCATCTTGTCCTAAATAGGCTAAAATTTGGTCGTGAACATCCATAGATTCTGCTCCTCTAGAAGAACTCAAACTATTTGTCATATTGCTATGAGGCTCTCTAGGTCTTGAAGATCATTAAATATCAAAATAATTGTAACATTTACAGTACAAAAATTACAAATCATTTGTGTTATTAGGACTTTCTCAAGTCGAAGGATATTTCATTAAATAATGGAGGAGTTTCAGCACCATTTTCTAGCGACCAAATGAAGCCTAAATTTATGATACTAACCCAGGCTAGCGATCACGAGTGTTGGCCACGTGTCGTTATTCCGTCAGGTTACTGAATGCATCCGGAAACCAATAACAAAACGCCACGTCACTAAAATGCTCGGTACAGCGCGCTCGGTACACTCGGTATGCTCGGTATTGCTCGGTATTTTCACCGGATGTAATAATTTTTCGTTGGCCATGCATGCTAAACCAGGCTCAATTGCGCCCATTGGGAAGTTAATGGTGGACTTGTCAATGAGAAGGAAATAATTTGGGGCATTTGGGTTTCGTTTGGGATAACTTTCTTACTGTTTCTTAAAGCAGCTTTCTAGTAAAAAAATTAAAATTTTTAACTAAAAAGTTGTTTTAAAAAACAGTAAGAAAATCGTTTCAAATGAAACCTTAATTTATGACGCTGATTTGTTAAATATTAATAAAAATGACAAAAATATCAAGCTAAAAAATAGATAAAAAAGTTACATGTCTACATAGTACATATGTTGGATAGATTTCAATAGAGAAAATCTAAAATTTTCTTACATAACTTTAATATAATTATTGATACATCATCCAAAATTATCTTGATCGGGTACGAATCTCAAAGCAAAATCAAGTTGAAAACTTTCGAAATTAAAATTAGGAGCATCTGAACTCCGATTTCAGCAAACTTACAGTCGAACTTGATCCTCCACCCATTTACGGGTCATGCCATTTCCAAAATCTATAAATAGTGTTCCCTCTCCTCTTGAAAAGGGACCACTAAGCCTAAGGAAAAAAGAGAGAGATCGGAGATCGCTCTTGCCTCCTTACCTCCTCGACCACCGCCCGAGTTTTGCCGGACCACCGCCGGAGTTCTGCCAAACCACCACCGGAGTTCCATCGAACCACCACTGGTCCACCACTGCTAGAGCACCACCTAATGCCCTGTGCTCTGCCGGACCACCACCTGACACCCTGTGCTCCGCCGGACCACCACCTGACGCCCTGTGCTCCGCCAGACCATCACATGATGTTCTGTGATTTGTCGGACCACCACTTGACGCCCTGTGCTCCGCTGGACCATCACCTGAGGCCCTTGCCTTCGCCGGACCACCATTTGAGTCTTTCGCCGGACCTCCACCAGAGGCCTTCACCTTCACCTTCACCGGACCTTTGCTATAGGCCCTCATCGTCGCCAGATCATCACCTAAGGTCCTCACCTTCGCCGGACCTCCGCTAGAGGCCCTCACCTTCGCCATATCACCACCTGAGGTCCTCTCTTTTGCTGGACCTCCGCCAGAGGCCCTCGCCTTCGTCGGATCATCACCTAAGGCCTGAAACTCTACCAGACCACCACCTGAAGCCCGAAGTTCTGTCGGTCCATCACCTGACACCTGAACTTCTATTGTACTGTTGTTATTTGTAATCTGATCGCCCTCAGAGGCGAGGCTGCCCGTTGTAACCAACTCAAGTTCTAGTGAAATCTTTTCAACTGTGCTAGGCCCCGTAGTTTTTCCCCTTTCAAGGGTTTTCCACGTAAAAAATCTTATGTTCTCTGTGTGTGAGCTGGATATCCGTGCAACGCTAAGACGTAAAATTAAATCTCTATCGCCGCGTATATTCTAGCCCGCAATAATTATACTTGCATTAATTTCAATATTATTTAATACTTATTAGCTTATATTTTTTATTTGGGAGAGATAAGATTTATTAATTCATGATTTTATAAACGGACTGATCCTATTGGTTCTGTCGTGAACCGATTCTCCGACCAATTCAATCTAATCCAAAAATCATTTCTACAAACAGTGAACAAACAATGGAACAGTAGGGAATACTGTATTTTGTATTTCTTCTGTAAATCAAAGACTACCTCTGTCTTCCTCCTCCCTAACACATATACTCATTCATGAGATACTACTCTATTCTAGAATTAGTATAAAGGTAAATTACTGACTTCAATAACTAACTAAAGTAAAACATGAAATAAAGCAGGAAAGGTAGTGGAGCTCATCTCATAACAGAACATGTGCAGATAACATGTTCCTCAAGCACAATCACTTAAGATGCTCTGCATCATACGCCCCCTCCGCAAAAGAGTCTTTCATCAAACCTTGTCCGTCAACTGGATTATCATCTGGAGGAAAATACGGATAAAGATCTGAGACGTTAAAAGTGCTTGAAGTGTTGAACTCAGATGGCAATTCAATAACATAAGCGTTATCGTTAATTCGGTGTCTAACTGCAAAAGGCCCGAATTTCTTTCGATTGAGCTTGCTGTAAGTTCCCGCCGGCATCCTTTCCTTCTGCATCTGCACCCACACTAAGTCGCCTGGCTCAAATACTTTCTTCCTTCTATGTTAGTCTGCATCCAGCTTGTATTTTTCGGTAGATTCCTGTAATTTGAGACTCACTCTAGCTAGCATCTCTGAAAATTGGTCCACCCATGTTGATGCTGCCTTGCTTTTACAGTTTGGTATAACTGCCACATCAAGAACATTGTTTGGCATTTTAGTATAGACAATACTAAATGGGCACTTACCCGTGGATCGATTCGGCGTTGAATTAAAAGCAAACTCCGCTTGACCCAACACCTCGTCCCATAACTTCGGCTGTTCCTGAACCAAGAAACGCAATAGATTTCCCAAAGTTCAGTTCACGACTT